CCCGCAGCGGATGGAGTTCCCGCCGCTGTTCCCCCACCGCCGCCGCTCTCCTTCGCAACACCGTCACCCCTGCTCGGGCTCCGGGCTGGGGGTTGCGAGGAGGCAGCGGGTAGGGGAGACTGACAGGTTGGAGTAAGTACTACGGAGCTGGTCGGTTAGCAGGCGAAAAGGTACTTAGTTCCTCCGAGGATGTGGTTTCATGTGGTTGCTCCGAACGAGGGTGTTCAAAACAGAATAAGGAGTTCATTGAGAAGAGGCTTCGCTGCAGCAGCTGTGAGCTCCCTACCTGCCCAGGCGGTGGGGATGGGCAGCGTAGGGCTCTGCGCTAATGCTCTCGGATGATGCTGGGTTTGGTTACAGTCACGCTGTTTAAGGGAGAAGAAGGAACAAAAGCCCAGACAAACATCTATGTGCAGTTTCTCAAAATTAGCTGCAAGAGCATTATGTCAGCTCATGCATGAAAGTTCCCTTAAGGCTTCCACTGCAGCATCTGGTATTAGCTACTGTCTTAGGCAGGAAGATGCTCCTGACAGATGCAATCACAGGTTTGGGCTTTTACAGCAGCATCTGTTTTTCCCCCGATGTGCCAGCGATAAATTATGCCTTTACACATTTTTTTTATTGGGAAGGTATGAGCCTATCTGGGTTTGATTTCTTCCTCTTTTGCATGCACACTGTTTACCTTCCCTCGAGAACATGTTTCAATCCTACATGGAAACTGGTACTTAGAAACAAGTATGGCCCCCACCTTTCTCTTCCCCTCAGTGTAACTTCATTTGAATGTCTGATATGAGCTCTGCTGAAAACAAGAAGTTCTCACCACCTGGGCATATGCAAAACATTGGCATTGAAATGAGCCTTGGCATGAAAACAGCTGTTACCCAAGTTTAGCACCCTGCGACTCATTTTCATGAGGAAATACTGACTATCGGTGTTTTTCAGGCAACTCTTTCCAGAGCCCAGTGAAAATCAGAACAAAGGAACTCTCTTACCCCTCCACATCTTTTTGGACAGCACTGAAAGCCTTGTTTTCCTTAGGATGGCATTTTTAAGCATAATGAGTTTATCTGATGCTTTATCTGCGTCTTTGCTCTCCCCACCTGCATTTTACAGTTCTATCTGTGCCTGCTTGATTGTATCAGCATAAAGATACTGATGTCTCCAGGATGCAGCTTTACATGTGTTACTAGCATTGCTGATGTTGAGATCACTGATACGGTTGAAGTCATGAGGGTTTTTTTTAGAATA